AATAGTTTTGATTTCTGACTTCGTGCAAATATTTACTGCTATATTTTGTGTATCAACTAGTTGGGCCACCGGTTGTATTTAAGGGTGCTTGCCTGTTTGCGAAACATATCTGGTGTCTGTCAACTCATCAAATTCAGTCTCCGCGATACGGCTACGCTTAGTTTATTTTATGAAACATGATCATTTGAGTATCGTATCGAGGGATAAATAAATGCGATTTGTCAGAATTGACGAACGCTCCCTTTACGGTGAGACAATTAATCGCTTTCGTTTTTCTATAAACATGAAAGTATTCATTTACTAACGTCGAGTGTTGCACCTAAACTCTCTATTGCATCTGGTCAAGAGTTTCACACGATAGATTGTGGGAGACTCGATCGACTGTCGGCAATCGTTTTATTTGATTTAAATGGCCGAATATACTTCAACACTTGCGTTCCGTATAGTGCTGCTGATCAGTCCGCAGAAACTAAACAAAACTGCGAATCCAAAAACATTTCCTACCGTTTGCTCATATCATGAAACACGTAATAATAATTTATTAACCTAGAAAATATTTCATACAATACACAAATATTACATGCAGTCTAGGTAACATGGAAATCTGAAATAGCCTAAAAGCTAGTCGAGTCAGATCCCTGACATGAATTTAATGACTTAAGTTAAGACTGACTGTAGGTAGTTACACATCAAAATATTTCAAATACACAAATATAATAATATATATATACACACATACATTATTAATGTATATTTGTTCTAGTCGCATAAATGTCCCAATATCTAAATAAAGCGACAGTAATGATTGGAGTATAACAAATAAAATCAATATTGGAATCGCGTAGAAATCATCATTCTGAATGTTCCGGGTTTGATAGGTTTTAACAACAGGGTCTGTTTTTGTTGTGAACAGTTTGCGGGATTCTAGTGCCCGTGTCATGCTTGATTACGCCAGCTACGCATCATTCCTACATTCCGGAAGTTGCATGCCTGAACAATTATGAGGGATGTATACCAATGATGGCAATATGCTATCCCCTATTAAGCGTAAACATTGTGTGGCGTAACGGCGGATGTTACGAAAACTATGATTGGTAGAACAGAACAGAAAACGCGCACACGGGGAAGTGAATTGTACGAACTTTCCTAACTCTTGATGATTTGGACATAGTGTAAAGTACTTTATTTTCGCTTGAAATTAATTTTCGCTGAGGAAATGATTCTTCTATATTTTACATTCAACTTGTCAAAATTCGGTGAAAATAAATTTTATACAAAACACCCCAAACGTCTTTTCAGAGAAAATTAAATCCAGCTAAAATAAAGTAGTTTACAGTATTTTAATATAGTATTTTTCGTATAGACATTAATTTTTACATATATTTATTTCGTTGCAAACATCCTGACCACACACACGGCCTTACGGTTCAAAGCTACACCAAATAATCCCAGTGTTTGTGATAGTTCATATTTGATTACGTTTTACTAACTGCGAAATTGGTAATTATTTCCACATTTTATAATTTTGACACGTTTTGGGAAATTGTTTGATGAAAATGACGCGTTTAATTTAAATATGAATGAAATCAGTGCGAAAAGTATGTTTAGCATGATGTAATGCTTTTGATGCATTCTTATGCGCACTCGCACTTTTACCTAAAGATAGTGTACCGAAATACCGAAAATCCACCACACTACGAGGGAAGACAAATCCCAGCACGATATTCAGAATGAACGATCAGCTGTCCGATCGTACGAGAAATCTGTGTTGGTGGTCGACAGGCTCGTGGTCTTAAAGGGCCTCTGAGTACGGATAATTGGTTAAACAGTGACTCTGTCGTATGACTAGGCACAGGGACCCAGTAAACCAAATCTTTTTCGTTGAGGCATGAATGCAGTAACTTCAAGTGCCATAGTTGCACCGGTGACTGCCCATAGTGACGGAATAACTGCCACCAAATATGTAAAACGGGGTGAGATATCAGTGCGTACTGAACCATAAGAACCTCGTATTATTCGCTTGAGAGAACACCAAAGAGTCAAACGTGGTGAAATAAACTAGCAGTCCGTTGCAACTAACGAGGGTATGTGCCGTCCCGCAGATTAACTGTTCGACTGTGACGAACCGTAAATTATAGTTCTTTCGTCGCGCCTACATTGTATTTTAAAGTTTAATGAGTATAGAAACACTCCGATAGCCACCTTCCCCTAACGTGTTATTTGGTCGGACCCCACAGTTATTTGAAGAACGTGAGCCATTCAATCGTTTTATGTTCATTAAACATTCTGTTCTACATCGAGCAGCGCATAATGCCGAATGTGCATTATTGCTAGTGAGCGACTGGGAATGGTAGGAAAAAAAATCAGCACTGAGAACATAAGTTGTACGTTTGTCATGACGATGGAACTGTGGTTCTCCAGTGGCCTATGTTGGGTGTTAGTTTGGCCGATCACAAACATATCTATTGAATCGACACTTATAGTAAGTGATCGGTGACTGGTCTTTCTTACCGCTTTCACTTTTTCAGTAATCTTAACCCAATCGATGCTTTCTTTATCCCTTTATTGGTATTAAAGCTCAACACATACTAAAACACTGCTGAAGGCTGCCGCTATATTGATATAACAATACATACAGTTATCGGTGGCTTGACTCCAAAACATAACCCTGCGGCACTAAGATTTATTTACGAATTGTTATCGGTCAACTACGTCGTTTCTGATCTAAATTCTCTCCCACGAACTAATGTGGAAACTATGTTGTTTATCAATTGCGCATCCTATGAATAAATTTATGGTGGCTCACCATTGTTGTTGAAAACGGAAAGTTCAGAATATCGGGACTTTCATGAACAAAACCTCAAGTACCTCCCATTGTAATTGGAATAATGTTATCTCAAACATGGCTAAGAATTCTCAAAAGAATCTGAGTCTCATGAAGCTAAGTTAGAAATACGACTTATTTCGTATAATCGTACACAATTGACTCTTTGTGAGTAGTGAAAACGTCCAATCGCCATTCACATGGCATGTTTCGAATTATCCCACGGTGGCGTGGTTTGGAGAGTTTGATAAACTGATATAATATACACAAATGAATGCCTCCAGCTAAATACGGCCTTGTGTCCGAGTATGCTTTGATATAATAGATTGACGAGTAAATGTAACTGTCGTTAACATGATTACTACTCGCATTGATGCAATAAGCCTAAGACAAATTGGAGTGTACACGTACACAACATCTCAATCATCAAATTACTGATCAACTGTTCATTGTGTGTGTCATATGTCGTATACGACGGATCTTAAAACAAGTAGTTTGTTTGAACGGAATGTTTACACGCTATTTTGTGGGTTATAAATTTGTAAAAAAACAAAAACACGTATATTAAGTGTATATTGACACAGATGTATTGGATTATCTATAGAATAAAAAGCAAATAGTCACGTAAACTGAGCAAAACTATTATAAAAATACTCTGTTCTGAATGCTTTTACGCTGTCTTACTCAATTGAATGGTTAAATGTCAAGGGCAGCGATATCACCGAATATGCAGTCTGTAGAAATCAGTTTAAATCAATGAACGCTTTCACTTCTCGGAACAAAATAAAAGGTTGTGTGCGCTTTTTTAAACCATCTTTGTTAAAGTAGAATACTCCTGATTCCAACCCCCTACTCGTACGAAGGTTTACCGATTGTTTTCCAAGGTACATAGTGCACCACGTGAGTTTGACCATCTGCATCGCATTTTACATCATTCAAGCGATCGACCGGTCATTGCGACGACTTTTTTTAATCACAATACATTTTAATTATTCTGGGTTTATCAATAAAATGCAATTTATCAAGCAACTATACACTTTATTTCAACATAAAACTTACAAATAAGAAATATAAAGAAAGACAGACGAGGAAAATATAAATAAAAACAAAACACGTCTCAAACTTGAATCGCACAGAAATCTGTAAATATGCCGGGTGTCTAAATAATAACCATAACTTCTGGTGTTTTAACGTATATTTATTTCATGACGCATTCCACGTAAAGTGGCAGTTATGTATGAAGCTCATATGAGGGCGTAATTTAATGTAAACACAATCCATGGCCAGGTTTGTTCAGGTACATCCCTTGACGCGCGCTGTGTTGGAAAAAACCCTTATTCGTAAATTGTAGTTATATATTAGTACAACATGTTTTTCGTTACGAAACGTATCACAGCGGCCTGATGATATTATTACATTTGTAGTAGAACAGGTCTTACGAACGAAACGTAGTATACAGTGAAATTTGACTTACTTGGCAGAAAATTCTTACACTGTAGAGATACCAGAATCGACCCAAAGTAATACAAACTTGAAGTTAACATAGATAGACTACTTTATCACTAGCCAGCCGGGTAGCAAATATGTTAAATATCTGGGCGTTTGTTAACCACTAATAGCTGCAAGCCGTTGGCAAGCTTATTGGTCTCGACTCTCGGGGGTAAACAAACTTGTAAGTGACTACTACAGTAAGCATTAAAACATAATATGTATTTACCATTCGGTAGGCTATACGTCCATTCATCGTGGGAAACATCAAGGAATATCTACGTGATTCTCTATCAATATGACGACACGTTGGCGAATTAGTTTTACATCATTACTGAAATCGAGGCTATAGAAATACACGTCATTGTAATTATATTTTTTTCTCGCACTTTGATTCAGAAAATGTTTCCATGCCGCTTTTTATAGAGATTGCAAGTTTTGTGAAGACGTTTGTAATCCGTTCGTTACACAATGGCCACCTATCGTATTGTTGCTATCAAAACACTTATCGTCCGGAGTGTGATTATATCACGACCAATCACGATTATTTTGGGCAAAACAAAAGCGCCTCTACGGCAGAAAAAAACACTAATATCTCCCTCTATGTCAGAAGGTTATGATCGTGTTGCTGTCTCTCTCTCTTCGAACAACTCATCATTTCCCTTTCCTTTAATTGTTTGCTATGTTGCTACGTTGTCGCTATCGAAGAAGGCGAAGGTTTATGGTTGTCCATGGTAGTAAACATTGTACGAGTATCCGACTGAACTTTGTTATCCTTTAAATTCAAAACCTGAAACAGTTACAACAGAAGCAATTACTAATCATGACAAATATCACGTCATTACAACACATAATCTCCATTTAATGAAACTGTAGAATATGGCAATGGAAGCAAATATTCGCCTCGGCTCGTACCTCACTAAGAGTCGAGCGACCATTTTGAATTGACATGTTATTGATCACTCAGCAATCAAATAACTAAAACTTTGATTCCGACCTATTGTTCCAGAGTCGTATAACATGATCGATCAGTGCAAAGTTGTCAATAATTACTTTTACGATTACCTTTGGTATAAATACTAGACACTGTGTGACTGTAGTTCCCAAAATAACCAATGCTGATGTCATACCAAAAGATACATGTGGTTGATATTTTAGAATTAGTGACATTGGAGCGCCGATGCCACAGAGTATGACCACGTTGTACAGACTCATCCCTATATACTGAGAGTCGTTGAGGGCTGGTATTTTCACCTGTAGATAAAACAGAGTTTGGTCAACCTTATCTATCTATGCGCCCGATACTCCTGGAACGTTAATAGACCGGAAGGTGAATAATTAACATATGTTTAGTATGCAAATATGCAATGATTTGCATGATTAATCATTAACCGTACCTTGTTATTTTATGTATAATCATCAGACTAGATATTAACTATGAATGCATTAATATTTACGTATGGACCAAGAAATGATTTCGAATACTAGTATTTCGCTGTAAGAGCATCCGTGTCACAACAATTATAGTTGTACGTCAATATAAAAAGGCTGGTATAAAACTTCTATTTGACAAAACTACAACCTTTAAAACTATGTTGTAATTATTTGTTTGGATGAAAAGGGACAATGTGATTTTTATTTCCAAGCTAGCATTTGTTATGTACCGTTGATGTTTCGAAAAGAAGGGAAGTATGCTAGCTATATGAATAGTTAACTTTATACACAATGCTAAGTGTTTGTGAAGTCATAAGGTAATATCTAGACTGGCAAAGTCGGGACTTCTTTTTTCTTTTACAAAAAAATATAATTAATTGCCAATTTAGCCTATTTAGCGTGATCGCGAAAACTAGCGTGACTACGAAAGAAATCACGACTGGACGCATCCGCGGGCGACCCCCTGCGTTGGAGTGAAAACCGGAGCGGAATCACTCCGGTGATTATGCTAATTAAAAGTTGTTGACTTGCATTGACAATGAATCAGAGTGCAGCTGTATACGTCATATCTTATCTATATTAATGTACGTGACCTTTCACTTCTGAGGTCCTAGCGATTTTGAAAGATTAGTTATACCTCAGACTAGTAATACAATTACTAGTCTGAGGTTATACACATTGGACATTTAAATCGACTTGTTTCCAGTAAACATGGATGAAAGTATCGCCTTTGTACTTAGAAAGTTAAAGTATCCATCTCTGCGATCGAATCAAATCAACCTTTAAAAGGTCATGTTTACTTTCACACATCCACTCATGAATAATCAATAACACCATGAATAATTAATAGCAGTCAAATGCCCGCAGATGCGTCCAGTCGGGATTTCTATAGCGGTCAGGTTAATTTTCGCGATCACGCTGAAAGGACTAAAAGAACAATTAGTTATTTTTTTTTTTTGTAAAACAAAAAAAAAGTCCCGACTTTGCCAGTCTAGGTAATAACGTGTAATGCTTCTGAGCGAAAGTCACTGAGTATTTATTCAAAAGGCAAACCCCCGCCCAGAGTACCCACCATATATTTACCTACCATAGGACACATCCCGACTGTTAATCAAAGATAGCGTACCACCATTGTTGAATTTTCCGTTTAGACTCCGAAAGGTTTTATTGCGCATGACTTGAAATGATTGCAGTAGCTGATAAAGCATAAGAAATGTCAAATAATCATGGTAGAAAATAAAATGTTGTTTATTCCGAATATTATTCGGACATATTTACCTTTCTGGTCTCCCACGCCAGGAAGGCGCCCAGCAGCAACATTATACCTTTGGTGGCAAATATCACCCCCATCCAATAACCCATGTACTGGGACGTGCATACGTCTAATTTGGGTTGTATCACTTCGTCTTCATCGTTGATTTGCTGTTATAAATATTACAGTAGAATTATTGCTGATCACGTAATCATTATATATTTCAAATTTAGGGAAATACTGGATTGTCACCAAAACTACAACCTCACAAATACAATTTTACAAATTTATCATTTTAGGACATAATTGATGGTACAATGTGATTTTTATAGATTCGCGATCTTGTAATACCACATGATTGACACATCGGCAGCTGTTACATTTACTTGAATTACATATGGATATTCCAGTGTTTTATGTATAGATACATTTGTTGAAAATGCATCTTGAGATAAAAGATGTGGTTTGATTTGTCATAAAATAAAAACGTTATTGTGACAGTAATCATAGTGGTATTCCTTTGTTGAAGTCGTAAAAACGCGCGCGCATATGAGCTTCGAATTAACAAGAGTATAAATAACTTCCGGTGTCATTTGAATCATTTGCGTTCTTTGTTTTCTATTAATCATACTCTATTGTCCTTACAAAGGTGTATTAGTAAAATATAGTAGATTGTATTAAAAATATAGTAGATTGTATTAAAGATATAGTAGATTGTATTCGATCATTTTTTGGGTTACTCGTAAATTATTAATATGTGCTCTTTAGCCAAAAAATATCATTTGTTGTGCACGGACAGTGAGCTAATGTTAATGCTAAGTTAATTTCTTTAAAAAACAAAGCAATAGATACAAATAGTGCTTCATTCAGGTGTGTCTAGCCTAATAATTAGAAATGAACAAATAAAACAATGCGATATACGTGCTTTTTATGAGATCTAGTCCAATAGCAAGATTGAGAATTCGATCCCTGAAACTTGTGAAATGCACGTTTGTAATGTACGTTACGTATCCAGTAAAGAGCGCATTGTTATATCAAATTACGTTTTTAGAAAAATTAATTTGGAACAAATTTGGATTTATTTTTGTTACATATGTAAAGTTATTAAAACGCTGATAACATATAGATTATTATAAATACTTTTATTTACGATTTTTCTAACCGCAAATTGTATTTCCTTATTATGTTTGAGTGATTATATTCATTTGGAATTCAAAGTTCGTTGCTATTGTATTCGTCGGAATTTAGTTGATCATGTGTAAACAATTACCTCTTCTGGTAGTTCTATTGTAATTTTCACTACAGGATCCAAAATTTCCCATAGCACTATAATGATAGCATCTAGTAAAAGAAGTAGCAACACTGATCCGATGAGTTGAGCATCTCTGACAACCTGAAGAAAAACCGTTAATGACCAAGAATAATCACAAATACGTTAACATAAACGTTTGCCCATCTGTATTATAAATAGGCCAAGAATCTCACCACAAGTACGAACATACATTTACAGTAATATTGTGTAAATGTGATAATGTAATCATTGGGTAGGAGACAAATCTGGTCAAAATAAACGTACGTTGCCCATTCACGCTAGAATTACTATAATACTTAACAGTGAATAACTGTGTATTCTTCGCTGTTGCGAACCAGCCATATACTGTTCAAATATGCATAAATCGTACTTACTAATTTCTTTACTGTTCCCTTGGTAAATATTCTATACACTCTCCATGTCTTGGAAAACATTGCCCCGAAAGCAAGGGTGAAGCCCAATAACAGGAACACGGCGTTAAGCTAGATAGGCGAAAGCAGATGTAAATTTTGAACCACGTAAGTTGTCTTTCAGGTTGTATTGCGTTGGTAAAAATACGGTTCAAAATGTATTCTTAAACGCCAATTAATGTTGTTGCTTATAACGTAGATATAAACAAAATCTTTGCGTATAGTGTGCATCAAAAATCCTTGAAGTTTTCCAGTTTGATTACGCACAAGGTTTGCAGGATGTGGTACAACCAGACATGCGGTCTCAAAATACGTTTCTTAGTTGCGATTTTATTCCCAAATAAACATATTGCATAAAATAATTTGGCCACCTTATGTACCAAATGTTACGCAAGTTTTGTTCGATGACGCATTCCCATATTTATGCCAAGTCCCGGAGAGGTGAAATAGTTTCTATAGTTTGAACACTGAGAGGGGTGGTCGCCGCGCAGCTATGAGTCGCTATGAGTCCCAAATCGAACAGGACGCGGCGCGACGACCTCCATTCATACATTAAAATTCCCCTTAGATTTTTGTAAAATACATTTAAATATTTTAACAGAACAGCACGTATAACACATTTATGAGATGAGTGTCTATCGCTTTGTGCTAATGCAGTGAAGTGAAATGAATGAATAATGTATTAAATCTACCTTACTGAATAGTGTTGTGGTTGTACTTATATTATTAATCGCTATGCACAATACATATATGCATAGTACAATTATTCTATCTAGGAAAATATACTGAACTGAATTTTTCAAATTATTTTTATGAAATTACTCATTAAGAATAACTATGGAATACATTAACATTGCCTTACAATTCATATTAATGTTATCACATAGATGATATTCTAGGAGAGACTTTAAAATGTCTGATTGATATGTGGACTCAAAGGTAAGTTTCGGAACAAATGAATATTAGATAAAATAATCTATATTGATAGAATTACAGTATTTATATTCTGTTGATACTGTGAATTCATTTCGCAGCTTTTTAAATTGTAAACCGAACATCGGGATTCGCAATTTGAGAGAGCATATTCAAGAAGATTATCTCACTTGTAAATAGTGCACTCCATCAATGAATATTTTATTTACAGGGACGGCAAGTGGTAACATTTCAACTGATTTACAAGACGATTCATGATCATGATTCAGGGGTATTTGTATGATATTTCACTAGACTAATCGTTTTATTATCACGAATTAATAATTTATGAGTAATGAAAAACAAAACATAGTAAATAAAAAGTAAACACTAAAATATATTCAGATACTTTCGAAGACTGACTTTAAACATAATTCGAATTTTATTGCAAAAATAATGTGCCAAAAACATTTGTGTTGTTGTTGAAGTACCTAAAGTCGTCAACGTTCAATCTGTATTAATCATGTCACTGACGCTGACAATTACATATCGTATTCCAGCTACATATTATGCTAGTAATTATTAATTGCGATGCAAAACTGGTCAACGAACTAATAGCATTTTCTGACATTGAGACCCCTTATGACATCGTACCATAGTTTGCGACGTTTGCATAAATAGTAATGGACGATTAGATATTACTAACATCGGAGCTAGGCGTTAGTAAAGGGTCGAGAGTTTGGCGCCATATACATGATATGTGTGTGATGTGAAAGAATATATTCTCAAATGCACACTCCCAATCCTTAGTTTCATATTATACCTTATTTATATGTATCTTTTTCAGTTAAAACGGATTCGGAACTTATATGATCCTTGATCTGATATAAATTATCATAATACATAGACGTAAGAAACATCTCCTGGTCTGTCCTAAATATCACACAACCAGCATTATTTTTGTTTTTGAAATGATCACCCCTAAGAGTCAAACACAATATTTTATTAATGCAGTATCGCATACTTTGAATGAAATTCATTAATATATTTGTCAACAGACACCTTACCTTACACACCAAGTGCAACGGGAGCAAAGAATTCGTTTCGAAATCGTTGATAAAAACCGATGTATACGTCAAAAGACATCCCACCAGTATGACGTTATTTAGATTAGGAGAAGACAGCTTTATCGTCCTAAGAAAAATAAGAACCCGAAATTATGCATATGAGATATCGCGAATGTCTTGTTTATTGAATATATAAATGTATTAAATAAATGCAAATACAAGAGCAATTATGGCGTTATATGAATCGAGCGCTTATTATAACAACAAGCAAGCAACAGACAAGTTATTTTCATCAAATGTGCTTGCACTTAGAATTCCAGAATCCCGAATACATAAATGTGCGCATGCTCAATTCTGCGGCGAGTTTCGAACCTGGAAGAAGATACATTTAGGCGTTACATAATGTAACATATTTTTAAAAAAAATATTCTTCTATAAAAACAAATGGATTTATATCTACCATTCTTTGGATTGTGTTTTAGAAGATGAAATCTACCACGAATGCAAATTAGATGGCAATGTCTTTTTTGTAATTCTATGCGAAAAACGCCTTCATATTCGAGATACTGATAAATAATAATATGTACACCAGAGGCGGCGGCACGATATTTTGCATGGAGGGGCGAGATCTGCTTACCAACCCGCGCATCGGAGGTGCGACCTATCTAAGGGGTCCGGGATATGCTCCCCCTTTTTGAAATTTTGAAATCCAGACTCTGCATTTGAGCGGTAAATTTTGCTGACACAAAGGATTTCAGCTTGATTTTAGGGGGGCGACGCCCCCTCAACATTTTTGTTGAGGGGGGATCACTGTACACGCACATCACGACACATGCGCATATGAACTATGTATATGAACTACATAAATAACGTTAAATCTGGTATGACATGTTCCGGTATGATTCGAAATGACCTGTATGTCACACGTAGTATTAGCGTTGACTAGGTAACCGAGTGTACTATTATGCAGTATTTAAGTGATTTACGAAGTGCTGTTTTATTACCGGTTTATTAACCGAGTGTGGATCACTTTTTGGGTTAGTATTTATGTGGAAACTGGTTGCCATGGTGTTTGCCCGATGCCATGGTATGTGGCTTATTTTAGACTGTTAGAATTTACCGTGTAGAGGAGCGAGACACGGGTTGGGGATGTCTTTCCTAAATTTGGAGTTTTTTATGCTAATTGAGAGTGACCGACCTTTGACCTAGAGTGGCGAGTTGTCGGATTGGTGGAAGGAACGCGCAAAAAGGGGGAATAGAAAAATGGCCGGAAGATCTGAACTTGGTTACAGTGAGCGGAGTGAAGATTCAACTAAATCAGGCGAATAACTGTATTGATTCCCGACTGAACACCTGTAGCAGAGGAGGGGAATCATCCTGGTCGCCGCTGGAGTCAGCTGTGAGACTGAGGGAGTCTTGGATCCTGTGAACGAACTTTCCATGAATGAAAGACGTTGCGCTCCCAGAAACCACGAGGCTGACGCTGTA